GGGGAAGGCTCTGAACCCCCAGGGCTGTGCTGCATGGACCCCCGCCCAGTAGTACCCAGTGCCCCAGTAGGTACCAGGGTCAGATTGCAGGTCTTCACAACAGGCTGCTGGGCCTCTGGGTCCCACAGAGAGGCCAGGTGGACTGGGGACTGGGAGGGGGAACTGGTAGAAGCCTTGATCGTGCCCCCCCTCCCCGCCCCTGCACTCACCCACCTGTGCCACAGCACATGGTCCACTACCGACCCATCCCGGCCCACAAAGGAAGGTGGCCACAGGAGGTGACGTGGCTGTGGCCACATCCACACAGGAGAAGCCCAGTTCCGGGGTGGTTCAGTGTGAGGGACCCAGTCTGGTGCTTTGTCTGCTGTGAAGTCCTGGCGCCCTGAGTAGGAATCTGGGCTTCATCACCGCCCTGGTGGGCAGCCCGGGACAGTCACTTCTCCCTGAGCCTGCCTTCTCCTCAGAAAAGGAGATTAAACCTCCTTGTGGTGGGATTAAATGAGACAACATAAGTGAAGGGCACCTGGGTGGCCCAGGCAATTAAGCGACGGACTCTGGATCTCAGCTCAGGTCTTGATCTCAGGGTCGTGAGTTCAAGCCCCACGTTGGGCTCCGTGCTGGGTGTGGAGCCTACTTAAAAAAAAAAAAAAGACAAAGTAGGGGTAGCGTCTGGCCTGTGGGCAGTGATGACTATTACTATTGCCATATAACTCCCAGGGAACCTCTGCCTCCTGCTTCTGTTCAAAGGGACACTGGCCCAGGGGCAGCAAGCTTGGTTCAAGCCCTGACTCTTTCCTTACCAGCTAGAGACCCATCTGTGGGGCAGTCATCATCGCTCTCGCTAATTCCCTACTCCCGGGTAAACTGTAGCGGTCTGTGCGCCAATGAGTGGTTCCTAAGAGGACAAAGGTGCCTCTGAGGTCCCTGTGGAGGTCCCCAGAGGTGGCTGCACCAACCCTCGCGTCCTGCATGCCCTTGTGTCCTGTGACTTTGCGGCTCCTCCCACCGAGAGCTGGAGGCTGTCCTCCCCTCGAAGCGAGGCGGGCCTGTGACTTGCCTTGATTCCCGGCCTAGGCTTCGAGAGACCTGGCAGTTTCCGTTTTGCCGTCTTAAGAGTGCCGAGCCACCATGAAAAAGTCCAGCTAGCCTGCTGGAGAGACCACAGGGAAATGGAGAGGCAGGCTGGCCTCCAGCCCTTCCGGCCTCCCCCGTTGAGACAGCCTTGGCCAGAAGCCGCTGTGGATCTTCCGGCCGCAGCCAAGGCTCCCTCATCAACACCACGCACAGCAGCGCCGAGCTGCCTTTACCAAGCCCTGCCTAGGTTGCGCGTTGGAGCAAATAAATGCTTGTTATTTTGAACCACTAAGTTTTGGGGTGGTTGTCATGTAGCAATAAATAACTGATAGGGTCCCTTAGCTCTTTCCGCATCATCTTCACCCAAACTTGGCTTAGAGCGGGTTGAGTTCCTTGGCCTCAGCTAATTGGATAAAGGAATGAGCACCTGACTTAGGGTAGCCAATCCATTGATGGCGGGCAGCCAATCAGATTCTCCTCCTCCGGAGACTGTGAATGAAGAGATCAGAGACCCTAGCAAGCCGGACTCTGAAAGAGGCTGGAGTTGGGGTTTTGGAATGGGAGCTGGGGTGACTTTTAACCCTGTGTTATCAGAGGACATAATATTGGGGAGAGAAGCAGGAAAGGTGGTAGACCACGGAACCAGGTTCTGTGAGGTCCCCAATAAATCACTTAATTCCAGATGGTCTGTGCTGCACCCCCTCCTTATACCTCATGAACCTTGACTTCGGGCCCTAAAAGGCTCAAGGTCCCCCAGGACTCCTAATACTGGCCAGGGTCTACACTGCTCCTCTGACCCCTTCTCCCTGGCTCCCTGTCACCTCCATCCCCACAAACACATGCAGGGGGAGGCCTTGTCCTCCAGGGCCCCAGAGCATGGCCACTCTGTCCTGGGCAAACTGCAGTGATGGCCTGCGTCTGCTCCCATCCTCCCACACAGCCCCGAGGCCTGCCGTGGCAAATCAGAGGGCATCACCAGGCTTGGCTTCTACCCCAGTCTGATTTGAAGTTCCAGCTCCCTGTTTCCCACTGTCCCCCGTCCGGTCCCTTTCCTTCCCCGTTCCTGAGTACACCTGCCACTTCCCTGCCTGTCCGTAAGGATACCGTGGTGGTGAAAATCGCAAACAACTGTCTCACCTGAGATGGAAATGGACCCGAGGTCTGCCTGACCCCAAAGCCCAGGCCCCATCCATCACTCTGCTGGGTGACTCTGCATGGGTTACTTCCCCTCTCCGGGCCCCCGATTCTCACTGGTGAGGGATACACCAGGGGCAGGGGTGGGGTGGCAGTGACCCAGGTGCTTGCTGCAGGCTGACTCTGCAGGCCGTTCCCCCTTCAATCTGGCAGGGCTCTTGAGTTCATGACTATCTTTGATAGATGGAGGTCCCACGCCTAGGAAGGGGCAGTTCTAAAACCCAGGCTGCCTTTTCTTGGGCCAACCCAGCCTCCTGCCCTGGGCATTCACATTCCCCCAAAAGGACTCTCTCCCCTATCTGAAAACAACCTCACAATTTTCTTGTGTCCTTGAAGTTCCTCGGAGGTCTGGTTCCCTCGAAGTAGCCAAGAATAAACTGGCCCCTTGAACCACTTGCTCTTACCAGAAGCTTGTGAAGCCCTAGGCCTCTCAGAGGGGAAAGTAACAATCCCATGGGCTGGCTCCTAAGGGAGAACGGTGCCCAACAAGGTATCTAGGGCTGGGGTCGTGGATAGGCTGTGTGCCTGTCTCTCTCTGGAGGTGAGCAGGCCTATCAGGTTCTTGGAGCCTCAGGTGACACCACTGGCCTCTTGTTATGTACAAGCCACCCCCTTGCCCAAGGACTCCCCTCTCTGTTCCTGTGCTCCCCAAAGTGGTCTCCTGCTAGGTGGGGGTCCCCAGGCCTGGCTCTGAGAAGTCCCAAGCCAGACTTAGGAGTCTGTGGCTCTGGGAATCTGGAACTCCCAGGCCCTGGTCCTGTCACTTAGAAGCTGTGTGGCTTTGGATACACCACCACCCTCTCTGGTCCTCAGCCTCTGCATCTGTATCAGAGTTGACCTTGATAGGAATCACCACCAGCACTGGTAGAGGGCTTACTGGGTGCCAGGTACCACACCGAACAAGTGTACCTATGCTCCTTCATTTAATGTCCTAACGACCAAAAGCAGTAAGATCATCTTTATGTGAAGAGACCGAGGCTCAGAGGGGTTAACAGTCCCGAAGAGCTAGTCAGTGCTAGAACAGGACCTCAAACCCAAAGCTCAGAGCTCAGAGCCTATAATCACTAGTCTAGCCTGCTCCCCAGGGACCATCAACCTTTTTCCACACCAGAATCCAATGGGGAAAGTTTCCTGTTTGTTCCAGGGGATAAAACCACAGTTCCGAGGGCTTGAGGCCTCCCCAGAGCCAGGGGCAGCCTGGGGTGGTCGCTGAGAGAGGGGGCCAGGGCGGCGTGGCCCAGCTACAAGCTGCATCAGCGGGGAGCCAGGAGCAGAGCCGGCTCTTGGGACATCGGTAGATCCAGGGAGGGAGGGAATGAGTGCCAACTCCATGCCAGACTCTGCTTGCCATGCCCCCCCCCGCAACAGAGGCTTGCTTTAGAAGGTGCTACATGGTCCATGCCAGCTCAGGTTGGGCATGTGCGCCCCAGGAGGAGCCCCAGTTGGAGACGCTACCTTCTGGAAGTCTGCTGAGTGCTGACCCCCCTAGGGCTTCCCCTCCACGTTCAGCTAAGTGTGTGCCCGTCCGTTCCTGCATCACTGGATCCTTCCCTGACCTGAGGACTTACAGGCAGCAGGGCTCACCCTGCCTGGGGGCCGAATCCAAGGGGTCCCTGAGGAGAAAGAGGAAACAGTGGAGGGGAGAAGTCAGGCCTGCCTGACCCTGGCACCCTCCCGGCCCGACAGAGATGCTGGCCGAGCTAGTCCCCAGCCTCTTGAGCCAGGGCCCACGGAGTCAGGGAAGGTGACAGGGCGACCGGACTGGCCCTTGGCAATTCTGCCATCCGGGACAGCCCTTCCGAGGGCCAAGTTTGGAGCGGCCTGGTTTGGTGTGAGCGGGCGGGGTGGCGTCTGACCCTCCAGGTCACCTCCAGGGCAGTGGACCCCGCTCCCACACCCACGACTCTTCAGAGCCCCGGCTAGGCTCATCGGACAGCGGCGACCTGGGCCACTGTTCTAAGGGGAGCCTCTGCAAGTCCCTGGAGCCAGCAGCCCTTCCCCGATCTGCCCCCCAGCCTGACCCCATGCTCCCCCCATGGTGAGATAATAATGACCATAATGAGAACAGTCACCCACACATGTGCACAGCGCTTTACAGGTTACAAAGTGTTTCACATACATCATCTCATCAATTCCTCACAACAGCCCTGTGAGGTAGGCAGGGCGGGGGGTCACGTTTCCATTTGTACAGATGTGGAGACTGAGGCCCAGAGAGGGTCAGTGACCTGTCTGAAACCACACAGTAAGTCAGTGGCAGAGCTGGGACCAGAAGTTAGGCCTCGGTCCCGCCTCCAGCTCCTGGCCCTCTGCACTGACTGTGCCGTCCTGCAGGAGGACCCCAGCCCCTGTCCAGAGTCTCAGCCACACCCGAGTCGGGCCCCCGACCCCTGGCAGTACTGCTTCCCGGCGGCTTGGCCACCAGCCCCCCCCCCGCACCAGGCAGCCCTGTCTCCTCCGCCTGCTCCCTGCAGACGGCCAGCCCGGAGCCGGGCCCGCACCTGCCGCCCTGCCCGCTCCTGTCAGCTGCCCAGGCGGGGGGGGGCTGGAGCCTCCTTTCCTGTTTTCCTGAGTGATCCCTCCCCATAGGGGAAGAGAAGAGAAAGGAGGAAGAGAAGGAGGAGGGGGAGGAAGAAGAGAAAAACAAGAAACTGAGTTGGAAGAGGGCCCTGGAGCAATCAGGACGTCAAAAGTTTGCATTCCGACTAGCTATAGGAAATAGGTTTTTTTTTCTCTTTTTATTATTTCAAGTTTTCATAAAAATCCATAATTATTGAAACCCAAGTTACAGAGGAAGTTCGTAACTTTTTTTTATTGAATTATTGACTGTGCCACATGTCGGTCTGTCGGCTTCTGACTCCAGTCTGTCAACGTGTGGCCCTGTGCAGGTGGGGTCCCCAGGCCTGGCCTGCGGAGGTCCTGGTAGACAGAGGGCAGGCGGTGAGGACCGGCAGGGGGTGGGGGTTGGGAGGGAGCCGCAGGGAACAGGGATGTGTGTGGAGGGCCAGGGGAGCGGCGGGAAGGGCTGAGGAGCGAGTGCTCGGCGGCCAGGCCCCTTCCCCTGCCCGGCCTGCCCCGGGGGCCCCTGCCCCCCGCCCCCACCCCGTCCTCAGATCATCTTCATGTTGAACTTGCGGGGCGCGTCGGCGGAGCTGATGCCCGCATCCGACTTGCGGGGCACGTACTCGATCTCGATGTTGTGCTTCGTGTTGCCCTTGCCCCGGCTCCAGAGGAACAACAGCACCAGGCAGAACAGGACGACGCCCAGGAAAGAGATAAAGCCCATGGTAGTGGCGATGATGAGGGTCTTGATGTCGAAGGGGAAAGGCACGGTGGCTCGGGTGCTGTTGGCCTCTCCCTCGCCCGGCTGGTTTGAGATGAAAGCGAAGGTCTTGTTGGGCTGATGGGGCCAGTCGGGCGAGTAGCTACGCACGTGCAGGTGGGCCGGCATCGAGTCGTTGCCGCCCGCGTTGGCCGCGATGCACAGGTACGTGCCGTTGTCCTGCACCTGGGCGTAGCGCACCTCCAGCGTGCCGTCGGGGAAGACTGTGAGCCGCCCGTTGCTCTTGGCCGAAACCAGGTGCTTGCGGGGCGAGAGCCAGAGGATGGCGGGCGGCGGGTCGCCGTCCGCCCGGCACACAAACTGCACCGTGTGGCCCTCGTCCACGAACACCTGCTGCGCCTTGCGGTCCCGGATGCGGGCGCGACGGCAGGTGAAGTAGTTGGGCAGGAGCACGTCGGGGAAGTCCTTGAACTCCTTGCCCTGGACGAATTCGGGCGTGGCGCACGTGGGCTGCTGCCGGTTGAAGTTGAGACGCCAGCGGCGCCGGAACACCCACAGGAGCCGGCAGTCGCAGGCCAGCGGGTTGGAGTCCAGGATGAGCGTCTCCAGGTTGCCCACCGAGTGGAAGGCCGACTCCTCCAGGGTGGTCAGCTGGTTACCCGAGACGTTGAGCACGCGCAGGTAGTTGAGGCCGCGGAAGGCGTAGGGCTCCACCACAGCCAGCTGCCCACCCACCAGCTGGATCTCCTGCAGCCGCAGCAGCTCATGCAACATGGAGCCCTCGATGGTGCTGATGGGATTGTAGGAGAGGTTGAGGAAGCGGAGATAGACCAGGTGGCGCACGGCCAGGTAGGGCACGGCGGTCAGGTTGCAGTGGGTGATGGACAGGGAGGTCAGATTGAGGCCGTAGAGGCAGTTGGGTGTCATGGTGTCCAAATAGGGCCAGTGGGAGATCTCCAAGACCTTGAGCCGGTACAACCTCTTGAAGGAGTAGTCCCGAATGGCGTTGATGTTGAGGTGCCGGAGCCTCAGGACGATGAGGCTGTGCAGGTGGGACAGCGCCTCAGTGGGGATGGAGGTCAGGTTGCATTTCTCCAGCGTCAGCTGCTCCAGGCTGTTGAGGCCGCTGAAGGCCCGGTGGGAGATGTAGACGAGGTCGTTGTCGCCGACCTCCAGTGACTTGAGGTTGTACAGGTCCTGGAACATGTAGTCCAGCAGGATGACGATCTTGTTCTCGCTGATGTCCAGCTTGGTCAGGTTACTGAGGCCCGTGAAGACGCCGAGGGGGATGAGCTTCAGCCGGTTGCTGCGCAGCCCCAGAGTCCGCAGGCTGAAGAGGTTGTTGAAGGCGCCGGGCTCCACGGCGCTCACGATGTTCTCATTGAGCTCCAGCTCTTCCAGGTGCGGGAAGCTGGCGAACTCGTCCTGGTTGAGCGTCTTGATGCGGTTCTTGCCCAGGTCCAGCAGGCGGGTCTCAGTGGGGATACCCTCAGGAACCGCCACGAAGCGCTTGCGGTGGCAGAGCACGGCACGCTCCTGGGCTGAGCACTCACAGCGGGGCGGGCAGCCGGTGGCCGAGCCTGACAGCACCGAGCCCAGCACCAGCAGGAGGATGGGCTGCCAGCAGGCCAGGAGGGGGCTGGGCATGCTCCTCGCGCCCCCCGCCAGCATCCTCTCGCTCACCTGCAGCCAGGAGCAAGCACAGGACAGAAGCGATGGTTAGGGGACAGTGTTTGGCCGGCCCCACCCTGGGCCCTCCTGCCTTGTCAGGGGGTCCCTGACACAGAGAACGGGGTGTGGGGGGCCCAGAGTGGCACAGGAACTAGCCCGGGACCCCAGAGTGAGGTCCAGATGCTGAGGCCAGAGAGTCTCCTGCCACCCCATGCTGCTTCCTCCATGCTCCTGACCCTGCCCAGAGCCCTCCCAAAGGAATTCCCCGGCATCCCTGCGACGGGGGGTGGGGTGCCCTGAAGAGGAGCCTGGTATTGGCACCCCAGGTGGCGTCCACCTCCTTTACATGTTATGTTTCATAGGCAACGTGATCCAGGCATGCACCCCATACCCTACCGCACACCCTGAGCCTCAGCTTCCCCTGGTGCTCATCGGGGATAAAGCCAGACCTGCTGAGTTGCCCTCAGGGTTCACAGAGGGAATCAAAGGGGCTCAAAGGCTGAAGCCTCTGGGAACAGCCTGCGGAGGAGTATGTCTGGTCCCCAGCCTGCCAGGCCAGGGCTCCTGAGGCTGCTGGGGGCCACCCTCTCAGCCTCAGCTTCCCCAGGCACCATGGCCCCCTCCTCACTGGCACTGTAGTTGAACCCCAGCCCAAGAGCCCTGGGATATCAGCAAACCCAGTGGCACCTGTCAGTGTTCATGAATCTGCTTCCCAGTGGGCTTTCCTGATCAGTGGCGGGCTCCCCAGCCAGAAAGCTGGGACTCTGCCCTGATGCCCGCCCCCCGTGGAGTCTCTCCGACTCTCCCCTTCCTCTGGGTCCGCTGTGACCCCCCCTGGCCTTCCGAACTCAGGGCCCAGCGAATGAGTGTTCCTGACCTTGGCCCCTGCAGTGCTTTCTTCCTGGAATGCCCCTTCCCCTGCCTGTTGAAACCCCATCTCCATGGCCTGATTTAATGTCCACTGCTCCAAGAAGATTTTTCTGACCCCCAGGGGAAGATGGGGGGAGATGAAGGGCCATCAGACTTCATCTGTCTGTGTCTCGGGGTTCCGATCACACCCCTCCTAGAGCCAGGGTTCTGTGCAGCTGCTGGCCTGAGCTGGGGAGAGTCAGGGCCATGGGCCTGGCCGCTAGCTGGAGGCCAGTCCCCGCTGCAGCCCTGAGGACACGAGGCTTATCACAGCTGGGTCCTGAGGAACATGCAGGGCTTGGGTGGCAGTCACAGGGGTAACGGCACCAGGAGGGGGGCCCAGCTTGAGTGCAGGCTGCAAGAGGAGTAAGCAAGGGGTGTGCGGGAGCTAGCCCCCCATGATTCTCTCCCAGCCATGTTGCAAGGCGACTTGTTCCTACTTATGCCCAGACTGCCTCCCCATCTCCTCCGTCCCTCCTCTGTGCCACCGCCTGGGAAACTGCCCCAGCAGGGTAAGTAGGGGGCTAGGAGGGCGAGACTGGACTTCTCCAAACTCCAGAGGGTGGGCCAGATGGTCTCGGGGGGCTGAACCAGAGCCCGACTGCTGCCTGTTCAGACGCCCCACACACATGGCACCCAGGGGGGCTCACTGCAGGAAGGAGAAGCCAGGCTGAGGGGTCCCACATCCCTACCTCAACTCTCCCAGCACCACTCCTACACCTGCACAGAGCCTCTGCTTTCAAGGCCACAGGTATTGTCACCCACCCTTCGCCCCTTCAGGCAACAGGGGCTCAAAGAGCTTGTGGCTCCAGCCCATAGAGGGGGTGGATCTGGGAGCAGAGCTCTGCTCTGCGGGACATGCCACACACCTTCCGGTGCTCCAGCGGCCTCCCAGGCCTGACAGGTGCTCCCAGGTTGTTGATGGACTAAGTGACTGATTAACCAGAGGGGGCTCTGGGTGTCACTGACATGTTAAGGAATCTGCAAGGTTTCGCTATCCCCAGCGGCTTTGTCCACCCCACTTCTCTTCAGCCCCTCTCATCCTCTCTCTAGACTCTGTGGTTCAGCCTCCCCCACCCCACCCCCACCAGGCCATTTCCCACAATCACACACGCTCCAGTGACCCACCAGAAAAGCAAACATCCTGACAGGCGATCAATACGTAATTGGGCCGGCAGCTGGGGCTGGCGTGGGAGTGAGGCTGGGGACCTGGGGAGGTAAATAGGACTTTGAGTGCCCAGCTCAGAGCTGGGCTGGTGGGTGAGGTGGGGGCTGCTGGAGAGGGGGCTGAGGACCAAGGGGGGGGGACAGCCAGGGCACAGGTCACCTGAGATGTTCAGAAACCCCTCACACACACCAGAATAAGGCATTCAAAGCCACCACCACCTTGCCTCCCCCCGACCCATGTTCACATCTCCCACTAGTCTGCCCCATGAAGCCAACCAGGTGTCCCCACCTTGTCCTGGCTCTAAACCATCCTTTTGGAGACCGCTCTCAGCCTCCTACCCCAGCGGCCTTTGTGACCTCCTTTCCCAAAGGCCACCTCCTCCAGGAAGCCATCCGTAACCTACGCAGTCAGAAATCATCTTTTTCCCATAACTTCGAAGCATGTTATACTTATTAGTAGTGATATTATGCAACCGCTGTACAGCACACGCCTCATTCTAAAAAGCACTTGAGCCAATTGACAGAAAATATTATGCCACAAGACGACAAAACAATAAAGCAAGCCAACAAGGGAAGAATACCACCAAGTCCTGCATAATGACGAAAGGGGTGAGCTTCCTGGCAACCTGAACAAAAAGGGAAATCTGCTTCAAAGCCTCAGCACTTGGCGCTGTGCCTGTATGTTTAATGCTGGGTCAGTCATGGGTGCTTGTGTCTCACAGAAGAGCCCCCAGTGATGTTCTTGGACAGACAGAGCGTATGCAAGAGCTTTTGCAGGGGTTGAGGGCCCTCTGAGTGAGCAGTGAGGGACCTGGGGGAATTCAAATCCGTTGACGGAAAAGCTGACTGGCATGGCCTTGCATGGCTGCCCTCCGCCCTCCACCCCCTGACCCCGACCTGGCAGAGAGACCCGCAGAACAACAGGCCATGCTCCACAGGACCAAGACAGCTTCAGGAGGGCATGGCCCCAAACTGCCTCATCCCCCACCTTTTACATGTGGCTGTCCTGAAAGGGGGGCGGAACTGAGGCCTGGAGAGGCTAAGATGCCTGCCCAAGCCGGCACACAGGCCCGAGTCTCCCAGTCTCACACCCCCATGGGGTCCCTGTCATCGAGGGGTGTGGACAGGGCTGCGCCTACAGGGGTCACCAGGGCTGCTGACGTGCACCATGTTGCTCCTGCCTTTCTGGCACCATGAACCCTGCTGGTTACTCCTGCAATGGCAAAGGAGAAGTGTTTTATGCATTTTAATCAGCATTTTATTTTGGATCCCTGCCCCCTGAAGGGCTTCCCACAAGGCAAGAGTTTAAAAATTGGACCAATAAATACAAAAGGAATAAACATCAAAGGCAGGCAGGCGGGCAGGCAAAGGGAGAGCCGTGCCCGGGGCACAATGTTCAGAGCCCACAGCAGCCTGGGTCCTCCCAGTGCCGGAGTGGTGGGGGGAGCTGAGCCCTCAGACCCGCACTCAGAGGGCCGCGCCACCACCACACTCTCGCTCATATGCCAGGGTATAACTGCTTGGCTCCGTTGCTTCCCAGACCGGCCACTCTGCTGTGTGACCGCGGGCACGGCCTGCCCTCTCTGGTCTACTTCTTCCACTGTGCAGTGAGGGGTGGATTCCAGGCTCCCTGAGGGAGCCCACAGCAGACACTGACTTCTTCCAGCTAAAAAGTCAACATTCTCAAACCTGCTTAGGGGTGAAGAGGAGCGGGGGCTCAGGCCCCAAACTGCAGTTCCACTGGGGCTGGAAGGATCTACTTGAAAGGTCTCACCATGGGGCTGTCCCCTGTGGGGCTCAAGATGGGACAGGTGACTGATGGGGACAGGAGGGGCATGGGATCACCTGGGAGTGGACTTGGGGAGGGAGGCCAGGGGTCACTCCGTCTCATAAGGTAGATTTCAAAAAGAGGTATGTTTTTTTTAGCCATTTTACAGATGAGAACTCAGGCTTCCAAAAGGGAATTCATTTGCCCTCAGGCCTAGGCACAAAATGAGGAGGCAAGAGAGCTCCATTCCCCCTGGTCCACTCGCCTGCCCCAAGAGCTGCAGGCTGTGAATGCTTCTGGACACACAGGGAGGGGCAGGCATGTCAGGGTAGCGGGTGAGGCTGCGGGCCCAAGGCAGGCCCCGGTCCTTGGATACCTGCAAGTAGGCACCCTGTGCCCCAGTGCCCACAAAAGCCTTTTCTCAACTGTGTATGCTGAACACGCTGAATTTTTCCTCCGGCGCCTGTTGCCACTGTCTCTGCTAAAATCTCACCTAATTCGGGGTCGGCTGCAGCACAGAATGAAAGGTTTAGTTATTTTAGGTTTAGAGTATCAATATTTCATGGTGTTCCCACTCAGCGTTCCGCAGGGAGCGCAGGGCTCCCCAGCACACACGGGCATGAGGTCCCTGGCGGGGAGATGCCTGCCACCATGGCTGGGGGCCAGGGCCTCTGGGGGGCAGCCCGGCTGTGGGACCTGAGCACCTGCAGCGGGCTGTCTCCCTACGTGGATGTGAGGCGGGCGTGCACCATCACGCCCTGACCTGACAGGCTCCGTGTCTGTGACGGGGTCTGCAGCAGGGGGGAGTGCGGAGGGATGGCTGACCTGGGAAGGGGGCTGAGGGAGTCAGAACGTCTGCCTACAGCTCCATCCAGCTCTGCCCCCCAGAAATGAGCAGAAGAGCAGGAGAGAGGAAAGGTGACAGAAATAGAGAAGACACACAGTGGGCCACATGGCAACGAAAGGGAAGAGAAGAGAGAGGAAGAGAAAACGGAGGAGAAAGATGGGTACCTGGGGCAGCGGGCAGGTAGGAGCGGCCTGGGTTGGGGGGAGATGGAGCGAGCTTGGCCCGCAGACTCAGCTACCAGTCCCGGAGCTCCTGGGCTCACGATGCCCGTCCCAGGCCCCAGGCCTGTTACCACATCCTGTCCTCAATCCCACCCCATGC